GCACGTGAGGGAAAACAATGACACGCTTTAATTAGAAATAGTAATTAGTGATGTGAGTTTGTATTTTAAAAGTAACCATACATCCAACAGACAGGGTTTCTCAAAATTCGAGCAAACCACCTGGCAATTTGTTAAAACGTGTTTGCTGAAATGAAGCATGTCTGGTAGGGGGGGCCTGAGATTCGGCATTTTAACTTTTTATTGTGGTAAGATATACATATAAAACTACCATCTTAAACCAGAGAGTCTGCGTTTTTAACAGGCTCCGGGGAATGGCGATGTGGGGGATCTGCCGCCCACATTTTGAGCATCAGGCTTTATCAGAGCCTTTCTTTGTACCAGAGTCTGAGGTGGGCGGCAGGCATAAAACAAGCAGGCCACACAGTTTGTTTTCCAGGAATGTCCTGGCAAATGGACCAGAGCAGGGGCAACATTACTTCAGAAGAGTGGACAGAAAGCTGTCTGATTTAGAAGTGTGGCCAGGATCTGCGTGTTGGAGCGTGGAAGTGTGGACGGGGTAAGAGGAACTCTGCAAGTGCTGTACTGATTACATGTTGCTAGATGATTCCCTAACACTGGGTGTGGCGATCACTTACCTTCTCTCTGTTATTATACATAATGCTGGTAGAAACACCTTTCTCCATGTAGCTGTTCTTCCTTAAATTTCTGTCCAGGGAAAAAAAATCCCAGGAATGGAATTTGGGAGTCCAAACACATCTTCTGACTGGCTCCAGTCCCATCTGCCAGATTCCACTGTGGTTACTTACAGCATTATCAGCCATGCCAAAAGGTACATGTTTTGTTACAACTTCACATTTGGTTTTTGTAATTTCACATTTGCTAAACAAACAAAAAATAATAATAAACGAAAATAAACCAGAAAGTAGAGTATGCACAAAATGGCCCTTCATTTTATTTTAATTTGCATTTCCCTCCTTACTGTTGGGACTGGATGCTTCTCCTCATTAAGCGGGTGATATTCCTTGATGGATTATTAGTTGGGAATGATGCAAGGTGTTTGTATTTTTGCAATTCTTTTTGTTTGGGAAACAAACTTTTATTACTGGTCACTGATGGCAGATGTGCCCCCGGCTCCTGTGGGCCACCTCCAGCTGTTGTCTCTATTGGCCTGTGTTGAAATCAGATGCAGAGATATTTCTCTCTAGTCCTCCAGTTTGTCCAAGACGCTGGTCTTAAGAGTTTTCTCCAACCACACCTGGTGAGCAAATAGCCCACCGATCTATGGGCTTGTTGGAAAAGGCACTGGGTAGCAAGCATTGATGTAGGGGTGACTTCCAGTTTTAGCTTAAAGAGCTTGGAAGTCATCTCTTCTGACCTCATAGCAAGGAGAAAGCTGAATAAACTGAAAATAAATGACTTTGGACCCCAGTCAATCTAAGGGGACCCCACACTGTTGTGGGGTTTATGTTCAAGGAGTCCCGCCAGGTTCTCACACCGAAGACTGGAACAAAACCCCCTTGTGTTTGACTTGGTGGGAGCAGGGGGTGGTGGTGGTGAGAAAGTGACTATTCAAATACACCCAGACTGTTTGTTCTCCACAGCAAAGGCCAGCCAGCATGGGAGCTGGGCCCCTCAGAGCCTCAGCCAACACAGGGAAAGGGGCAGACCTGACTTCAGTGCCCTCTAGCCTGTCTGACTTACCTAAGGTGGCAAAAAAGCCCTGAGTAGGACTTGTGAAGGTGTCAAAGGCCCATTAGAAGATGGAAATTTAATCATATGATTTTGAAATGCTTCCCCTCCCTCCATGCCTTGCTACCCACCAACAGGGCCCCTGTATACTGCAGAGGATTGCAGCAGAAAGAGTTGCAAGGCTCAGATTCCATTTAAGAAGCAGTCTTTAGGGAAACCCAATGATGACAGGGGAAACAAAAGCAAGGACACTAGAGGAAATTTCAGCTTCTGACATTATAACTTAGCAAACAGTAAACCCAGCATAACCTCTGGCCAGAAAAACCTCACACTAAAGGCCTACCTACTTCAGTTCTGTTACTGACTATATCACGTCTGGCTTTCAACCGAAAGTTACAAGCATGCTAAAAGAAAATACGCAGTTTGAGGAGACAGAGCAAGCATCAGAACCAGATTCAGATATGGAAGAGCTGCTGGAATTACTGGACTGGGAATTTGAAACAACTATGATTAATATGCTAAGGGCTCTCATGGGAAAAGTGGACAACTAGCAAGAACAGATGGGAAATGTAAGCAGAGAGGGAGAAATTCTAAAAATGAAAAGGACGCAAGAAATCCAAAACACTAACAAGGGTGAAGAACGCCTTTGAGGAGCTCCTCAGGAGCCTGCACGCGGCCAAGGAAAGAATCAGTGAGCCTGCAGGTGTTCAATAGAAACTTCCAAAACTGAAGTGCAAGAGAAAAGAAAAATGGGGGAAAAAAGTAACAGAAAATCCAAGAACTGTGGGAATATTATAAAAGGTGTAACATGCATAATGGAAATTCCAGAAGGAAAAGAAAAGAGAAATAGTTGAAGTAATAATGGCTGATCATATCCCCAAACTAGTGACAGAAGCCAAATCACAAATCCAGGATTCTTGGGTAACAAACACCAAGCAGGGTAAATACAAAATACCTCCATGTAGGTGTGTCCTATCCGAACTGGAAAACCAAAGACAAAGTCTTGGAAGAGGCCAGAGGAAAAACAAAGAGAACACCTAGCCTAGAGAGAAACATATTGAGTGTTACGTTAGACTTCTTGTTAGAAACCATGCAAGGAGAGAGAGGGCAGGGATAATCAATGTTTGTGTAGATTGGAGTTTCTGATCTATACATTTTCCTTCTCTCTGAAGAATTCCTTTTAGCATTTCTTGCAAAGCAGGTCTACTGGCAACAAATTCCCCCATTTTTGTCTAAGAAGGCATTTATTTCTCTATTTTTGAAGGATAATTTCAGTGGATATAAAATGCTAGGTTGGTGGTTTTTATTATTATTTATTTATTTATTGTATTTCAGAAATTTTATGTATATATTTTTTATTTTAAAAATTTTTTTATTAAGGTATGATTGATACACACTCTTATGAAGGTTTCACATGAAAAAACAGTGTGCTAACTACATTTACCCATATTATCAAGTCCCCACCC